GCAGTGAGTTGTGCATATAGCTCCAATCATAAATTCGTAATTTGGATTTTATTTTTTTATTTTTTTTTGTGTTATCATGCGTTCATGTGAGTTGGTTACCATTTTAGCTGGAAGAGTAATAAAGGTAGCTCTGTGGTCAGTTACTTAAGATCCAGTACTGCCGATATACAATTTGTTTCGGGATCAAGAATACCTTTGGCAAATATATGATCTATACAACTCTTTGTTTTACCCTGGATACGAGTACTTTTATTGATAAGAGAGATAAAGTCGTTTTCACTAAGGGAGTCCAAATATTCAGATGAAATTTCGTTTTCCACCTCAATGTTCATATTAATGTCCCTGCTATAATGTGATATTTTGCTTGGATATTTCTAGTTTCTGTTAAGTAATTTCTCAATCCTTCAATGAATATGGCTTCATTCGTCGATGGGGATCTATACAAAACAGTCAGCAATGTGGAGATGTTTTATTTATCAATTATTTTAATTTGTAGTGCTTTAAATATGTTGATGAGAACAATTTTCCATGAGTACTTCAACGTTTTCTTGATATATACAACAACTCCATAATTCCTATTTAAATCACCCTCATTGTATAAAATATCATATCCGGGTAGAGTGAACAGCGAAGTTGTTGGAATTTTTAAAGTTTCAGTCAGACATATACAATCTATGTTGAAGGAAATTTGGTATAAATGTATACTTAATTCGTCTAAATTTTTACTAATTAGTAGCATAAAGTGTACCTATAGTAAGAAACTAATGTACACTCAACACAAGTAAATAGTTCACTAACTGTAGGTCGTCTAAAAACTATGAAACTGTTCACTAACCACTGGTGACTAATTTCACATTTTACCTGTCCCATATAGTATACAACTTTTTATTTGCTATAAGTTAAAGTTCGCTAACGTGTAGTTTGTAAGTTTAACCAAATTCTATTTTTATAAGTCCTTCTTTGGTATAAACTTTCAATTATAATGTATATATTGATTTTAAAACAAGACCGATGACATAATGAAATATTTTGTAACCAATTTCGTAATGTTAAATATTATGCAAGTGGTTGCGTATAGTAGATCATTTTGATACTGGCAGCCATTTCAAAAAATGTCACTTAAACGTCAAAATTAGAAAAACATAATGTATAATGTGGAATTACCACAATTATAAGGTAAAACATTATTAAAAAAAAATAATGGCTTAGGGTAATTATCCCAATTACCTACCTTATCTAAACCCCTGCATCGAAAATGTACAGTTAATTCTAAGCCTTTATTTTTAGTCCGATTTTTGTGAAATTTTCAGGAAATACCAATAATAACAAAACATTTGTTATAGAATTTTTTGTAAACCTTTGAAAAGTACTTATTTTAAAAAAATTTAAAGGAAATTTAAAAAAAATATATTTTCGCGCCATTATGTATTAAATCTATGAAATTTGCAGCTTTTTAATTTAATAAATATTTAGTAGTTTTTAAATGGAATGAGTTCCCACCTTTCTTTTTTAACGTCTCTGTAGAGTGCTGCTTTATCGTTGCACAAATTTAAAGCTGTCAATATTTTCAAGACACATAATATCACGAAGTATTCCCAGTAGCGCGCATATGAATACAATTTTATATTAGAAAATCGTTAAAACATTTTTGCTTTTTCGAGAGGTCCGGTTTGCTATTAAAATATTCTACACCTATCTATGTATTTCAATATCCAAACTTTTAATGGGGTTAATTTTAATAACGTTACCAAGGTCATATCTAATAAATTCAACGTAGGCCCGCTACGTAATATAGCAACAGGCGCTGTATTTAGAAACCCCCAATGAAATCATGTTCGAACCTTCGAAACTGAATTACTTCGTTTAAGAGTAATTTAGCTGAAAACTCTAGGCAGAAAGCATTCGTATCAAAAGTTAAAATTGGTAGAAAGATCAAAGTCGCTGTATCTAAATGGAAATAGTTTCGTAAAATATTCGCAACAGCTTTGACGACGCCAAATAATAAGTGGAGAAGAAGGAAGAGAACGGGATCTCACTATATTTTTATTATATCGGGTGACAATATTTATTAATCGATTTGCAACATACATACTAGACATAATTTCGAATTGATACTATACTTAAACGAAACTTTCGGAAATTAAATTCTGTTTTATTTTTCTTGGAATCTAGGTTTAAAATACATATTACAATGTTGCCGATTTTTTATTTTTTTTTTTTAAGGTCATGAATTGGAAAATAATGTATAGTGGTACATGGTCTATATTGTCAGATCAATAACAAAACGATCTAATGTCGGAAATTAAAAAAAAAAATTATTTTGATGAATAAATTAGTCAAAAGAACTTAACTCGATATAGAAATTATAAAAATAGGAAAATATTTTAAATTTTTAGGTAATAAGTTTACAATTATTTAGTGAAAAAGTGGTACATGTGACTAAATTTTTGTTATGAGCAATGAAGTAAAGAAAATAACGATGAAAACAAAATTATTACATATCTGAAAATAATAAACAATAAACGTGTTACAATACGTAGTTTTTAGTGTTATTTACTGTCAGTAAAATTAAGTACATCTAGCATTATTGGGTAATTGTCAGGAAAACCATTTCCTAACATACACCATTTTGGATAGGATTATGGAAACGGTCAAAATAGTACAAGTGCTACCAAAATCTGTTCATAATACCACACTATCAAATAAGTAGGTAGATACATATTAATAAAAAATACGTTACCAGAAAAGTCAGTCTATCATAATGCACCATTTTCGTAGTCTAACACTAATAAGTACTCGTTCCGTTTCATCTTCGTCTGTATTCTCGGTAGCTGTAGATGGTACAGTAGCAGTTTTTTCTTTTTTTGCTTTTAAGGGGTCTTAAGTGACGGGACGTCATGGGGCAATTCCTTATAAAAATCATGGTATACTGGTGGCATAAAATTAAGCAATGTCATTTTGTCTTTGTATTTGGGATGTTTTATGTTTATGGGATGATCATATAATGGTTTTAGTTGCATTGTACTACGTGGTGGTCTTCCGACCTGTGTAAACTTCTAGTTAATTATATAAAAGTTAAAATCCTCAGAAAGAGTTTCTTTACATTTCATTTGAAATGGAGAAGCCTTTTCGATCCTAATCGATCTAAGTGGTCTCAATAGAAAATCACATCCATCGTCTTAGTGTTTTGCACTTGGTCTAATGCCGTCAATCTCCAAATTAAAAAAAGTGGTTTGATGTCATTTCATAAACATTAAAATTTCTACAGCTCTTAGATATCGCAGTTGTCCACTCGCGGGAAAGGAAAACATAGAGGATATGACGTTTATACTTCTCAACACCAAAATCTTCATCTCACTCCATATATATGTGCCCAGGTTCCAAATACCTATGGTCTATAACCTCTATGTGGGTGTTTATCTCAATATACATCCAGCATTGCAATATCTTATAATTTTTATTTTGGCCTCCACATGAATCGCTGAAGGCCACTATTTTTGTGACATATTTGGGTAGCTCTTTAATAAACTTTAACAGACATGACGCTACTTCTGACGACCCTCTAGAAGCGTCAGCTTCATGTCATGTATACATGTTAGCTTTTTTGTTACTCAAGTTATGTTTTGCAAAATTATAAGTCCAGGGAGTTCTTAGGTAATATAGATATTTTAAATGTAAAACTGGTACAAAAGTGCATTTATCCCACTCATCCACTCAGGAAACTGCGGTTTTACTATAGAGGTAAATCTACTATACGTAAGATGTCGCTATCAAGCACAATTTTCAATTGTACCAATTTTGCTTTAAACGAAATGATACATCACCTTTGCAGAAGTGAACTTAGACTAATTTTAAGAAATAAGTCACTTATACCACTTTTCTACTGACCCCCCTCAAATTGTTAATCGAGTGGTAAATATATTAACGGATTCTGTTGAAACAAAATACAGCTGTTGTTTGGAAGTAATTAGTATATCAAATATATTACAGACAAGTATAAAGAATGTGTGAAAAATTCAAACGTAGACCTTTTTTTCTTTTTGCATTTTTGTTAAACTCTCATGTGTTTTATTTTTTTTATAACTTTAGAACAAATATCATTGAATTCAGCATTTGTGAGTGACGAGCAACCCTTGTGGTACCATGTAAGATAACCACACATTCTATAGATCTTGCTGATGCTGTGATTATATTATCAGATTCACCACAATTTCTCATTTTAATTGGATGAATACAAATATTTGATGAAAGAGATCTGACAACATAGGACGAGCGTACTGTCAGAAAGATGTTGCGGATAAATTCAATATATACGGAGGTATAGGAGATGTAACTACTAACAAATATCGTGCGGTGATGAATAAGACATATTCTAAGGGACACACGAGGGTATAATATTCGTTGTTGTCATATGCCTATTTCATTATTCTCGTTTTGTTTACAAAATTATTTACATACATTAAAATAATTCAACCTATTTTATTGCAACTGAACCCAAAAAATTTTGAATCATTAGTTATATCAAATTTAACTAAATTAGATGTAATATTACTATATTAAATGTAATAATTTTCAATAAATCGTAAGTTGGAAGTGGCAACAGGGCTTACACCGTTGCGTTGTTTATTATAAGCGCACATCGCTTACACATTTATTTATTGATAAAATAAAGTTCTAACTGCGTAAAATCCTTCTCTTTATCTCCTCTCTTACTTCTCACCTTTCGTCTTCTCACCACGGACCAACATATAGAATTGTCGACTTAATCTTGGCATCGTGAATATTATATTTTATCAATTAATCTCTGTTATCTCTGATTATATCCGATATCTTTGGGTTTAGCTCCATCTTGCTGATACCATATTGTTCCTAAAAGTGTTTATTAAAAAATATTTCAAATTTAAAACTTATTCATCAAATGGAATGGAATTAAAAATAGCATAAAAATTCATATGTATTTTTTTAAATTTGCCTTTTTTATGTATTTTTTTTTATTTCAGGAGTGATTTGAAAGAAAAAGGATGACATGCAGACAAAAAATATCAACAATGAAAGATCCAATAACCAAGCAGCTAATGAAGACTCTAAAAATGTATCTGAAGTAAGTAACTGTACTTATTTATACCTTTGCTGATTTTACATAACTACGTTTTAATTACCATATCATATCCTGTAATAAATGTTTAAATTAGAATTTCTAATAAAATATCTGCTCTATTGGGACTATAAATCTCACATCACGTCAAGAAATAATTGATCCAAATTAAAAATAATTTGCAATAGATTTATATTATTAACCTTTTAATAGTAATTTGGGTATACGGAGAAGAACTAGTAATTAGTAAAAATAAACGGAAATTATTATGGTTTCTGGTACTATATGTGACAGCAACATAATTTGATTAAATCTACTATGCATGGTGTTCCTTAATGATAAGCGCGAATATTTATATAAAAAAATATTGATAGTTTTCTTTATAAAAATCTTCCGTAACAAAAATACAGGGTGCTAAAGTTTTGGAAAAATAAGGAAAATTCAATAATATTTTCGTAACCGCTTGAAATATTTCAGTGATATTTAATATTCAGTGACAGTTAATAATGGTGCATATTTTTTAATACAAAAATAATTTTTAGCTTTAACAGTGGCGTGCGTACGAGCACTAGCATCAAGCTTCAATATTTTTAAAGAAAAATGGTACGCCAATGATTTTTTTCCCAAATAAAAATTATTTTTAAATTTCCCGTTCAATTTTAAACTTCAAGGATATCTTGATTTGTTTTCATACGTTACTCTGTTTTCGAGAAAAAACCTCAGCAAGACGGTTACCTTTCGAAGTGGTGTGACCTTTGATCCATCTTAAGGTGAACACTTTGTTGATGGATACTTCGGAATAATTGGAATGCGTAAAATAAGTCACATAAGAAGTGCATGGGCGGATTTTAAGAACATTGATATTAAAGTAGTAAGGATGAACCTAAAATTCTTAAAATAAATAGGTTTCTAAGTCAGAAGCAATTATTCAAGAAAATCAAAACCGCGAGTCAATCAGAACTTTTGTTTTCGTGCTAGCATACATGCGCACAGACGACCAGACCAAATTTTTTTTTGCATTTTCGGGCTCGAAACGTAAAATTTTTTTTTAAAAAAATATAAAGAAAATGTTTTTGTCTGCAATACTGAGGCCCCATAAGAAGGGCGTCAGTAAAAGGACCATTTGTGTAATAATAATTTGTATGTCAACTCATAACAGACATTCTTATTTGATTCATAGAAATATAAGTTAGACTATATTTACAATAGCAATATCTCCTATTAAAAATTGAATAAAATAGGTAGATTTTTATTCCAAATCGGACACCTTTCTATCATATTCTCAAATGTCATACATCATTCCCCTCCCCCTCCGTCTTTTTAACCAATACAATTTAAAATGGGAAAATACAAAGCATAATACATCATTGGAAAGGAAATTTTTTGAAGAATTCAGCAATATGAGTGTTCATTGCGCTACTTTTAATAATAACTCGGAAAAATCTAGGTACATCATACAAGACTTCGCTGGATGGTCCATGTAGAAAGAAAAGAATAGATCAAGATATAAAATTCAGGAAAGGGCACTGGTTACTTGGTAGGCATTGCAGCCTATCTGCATATAACACAATTAGTTTGTAAACAAGTTCGCAGCAACAATAATTCCAGAACAAAGTATTGAATATCATTGTCGAATCACTTTGGCACAATAGAAAAAGCGACTTCTATCGACATCTTCAGATGGACACTGTTGACTAGACCAGCGTTACTCAAAGTGTTGTGGTCGACGGAGCCTTGGACTTTGCAAAGCCTTTGTGGGGGCTCCGCGACGAAAATAATGATTATAATAATAATAAAAAAAGTAGTACTATCGCTAAAAAAGGAAAGACCTTGGCTTGAGGACCTTGACTGAAGATCTTGGCTTGAGGACCTTGGCTTGAGGACCTGTTTTTTTTATGAAGTCACTAAGACGAAAGAGGATAATATTTTGCTTCAGGACTTTTTTTTAGAAGTCACTATGATGAAGGAAGATATGATTTTGCTTGAGGACCTTTGTTAGAGGTCCCTATGAGAAAGGAAGATATGATTTTACTTAAGGACCTTTTTTTTAGACATCATTTTACTTGAGGACTTTTTTTTAGAAATGTGTTTAGGGCTCCGTCAAATATTTCGCTTTTCAAAAAGATTCCGTTGCCCAAAAAGTTTGAGAACCACTGGAATAGACTATCACCATATTCCCTAGAAGTCATAAACAACGGCTTCACTAACATGTGAACGTTGAGGCGATCCAGCTTTTTGACAACACCAACCTGACAAGAACACTCAAGAAAGAGAAAGCTTTTAAGTTAGCCGAGTGTTTCTGTTAGTAATAGCACAAATAATAATTGTGCTGTTTAGTGTTATACATTAGCTTGGTGTAATTAAGTTATTAGACCCTGAGGTATATTAGTGAGTAGAACTTTACTTTTTCAGATTGCAAACGCAACGTATTGAACAGACTAAAAAGGCACCTTAGTAAACTGAGAGTAGTAGAAAATAGTGAGTGCGGATTCTGGTGAGAAGGACGAAACCTTCATTCACATTCTGACTGAATGTGTAGCACTCCAGAATCCAAGGGCATTATACCTAGGAGCATATCAAAAGAAGAGAAAAATTTACCTAACTTGAAGCCATTCCAAATCCTACACTTACTTGAGAAGATAGGATTAGAATTAGGTATTTTCTTGCTGTATTAGCGACAGAAGGGACATAATAGATTTTGTAGGTCGCAAGGTCGCAGTGTATTAACACCCCATTGCCAAGATAATATAACATACGATTGCAAACTTAGTTAGGTTAAGAAATGAAGCGAGAGGGTATTTAAAGTATGTAAATATTGAGTTTTATTTAATAAAACTCCATAAACTAATTCGTCTGAGCGCATTCGGCCTCTTAAGCCATCATCAAAGATTCTATAAGAGAAAAACGGAGCTGTTATAATACAATAAACTCTATCATTACTAAAAAATATAATAAAAAATCTTTGTATACTTACTCGTCAAGAAAACTTTAGAAGGCACAAGAAAAACTAAACTAAATTAATAAAGGACAGCAACTGACCAGTCCCAAGTCTCCACTATAGCTTGCAGCTTAGCTAATTGAAAATTGAAAATTGAAAAACCAAACCGAAATTCGGTAACTGACCCAGTGTAAAATGTGGTTAGATTTTAACAAAAGAAGTGGAGGTTCATCCGACCATGTAGAACTAAACACTTCTGATACTACGGAGAACAAGAAACTGCTATTCTTCCACATGAAGGCAGGAAGATTTTGCCAATTGCTTTAGTGAGGTTAGGTTGGGTTAAAACTAAATTACTCATTGATCAACTCTTGATCATAGGTATTGTTTTGTCAATACACATCCCTTATGTAGTTTTTACTAGCTTTTGAGTTTAGCGCCCTCTAGCGGGATAAAAAACTTACGTATTGTAAAGTGTGACAGTTCATTTAAAAGCTAATTTTATTGTTAATTTAACGCCCAGCATAAATTTGCTATTTTGGTTGATTGCAATTAAAGTTAAATTAAATTGATTTAATCCTAACATTAATGGCAATGTTCTTATGCTTATAATAATATCTATTTATTCTTATAATTAATTATTAAAGGTACATTTTAATATATAAAATAATTAAAAAGAATTCGAAAAATAGATAACACTCCATTAAACCAAGAGTGGTTGAGCATGGACAAAATAAAATAAATATAGTGTAGTATTTGTGGCGCATAAATATGTTACATAAATACAGTGTGTCCGAAATTGGTGATGCATGTATTGCAATTTCCGAAACTGTTAGAGATAGAAAAACAGTTAAATAAGAAAAGTTTTAGACAATTTTGTTTATAATTCAATGCCGTTTAGTTTGAGAATTTTTCTCTTTTGGTTCTTGAGATATTTTGAAAAAACTAAAATGACGCATTTCCGAAAATACCCTGTATTTTCTTTATTTATGAAAATTTCTAAAAGTTGTAAATACTTTCTTGGAGCAACTTTTTACGTAGAAAATACCTGTGTCATCAGATTTTATTTGCAACGTTTCGGTTTCTTGGAACCATCATCATCTTTGTTTTTTCATATGGGCGCCATGTTGGAGTTTTATCTCAAACTAAACGGCATAGAATTATAAACGGAACTGTCTAAAATTTTCCCCATTTAAGGAGGTCCTTTCGCCACTCCTTTCGCCACCAAAATTAATTTTTTTCTAATAGTTAAAGTCTTTATTTACCTAATAGTGAACTTTTAACTATATCTTACCGTGCAAATTATTGAGAAATATTTTTTTGAAAATGTGAGTATTTGTACACTGTCTTACGAGAAAGTAAGACCTGAACAACAATTATCGAATTATACTATTATTTATTGATTAGATGGAGTAGAAAAAAACTAAAAATAAGGTTTTTGAAATATTTAGGTTTTGTTTTTTACAATAAAATATATAGGTTACCGTGGAACTTATTGAGAAATTAATATTAAAAAAAAAAAATTAAAGCAACTTAGTTGAAAATTTTTTGTGATTTTTTAATATTAATTTCTCAATAAATTCCATGGTAACCTATATATTTTATTGTAAAAAACAAAACCCAAATATTTCAAAAGCCTTATTTTTAGTTTTTTTCTACTCCATCTAATCAATAAATAATAGTATACTTAATTACAATTCGAAAATTGTTGTTGAAGTCTTACTTTCTCATAAGACACTGTACAAATCCTCACATTTTTAAAATTCTTTTTTCTTAAAAATTTGCACGGTAAGGTATAGTTAAAAGTTCACTATTAGATAAATAAGGACTTCTACTATTAGAAAAAAATTAATTTTAGTCATAATCTAATTTTTTTTATTTAACATTGGTGGCGAAAGAACCTCCTTAACTGTTTTGGAGATCGCAATACATGCATCGCCAATTTCGGACACACTGTATATTAATTTTTTTTATACAAATGACCTTAAAAAATACATTTAAGTTATGTTTCATTAAATTATATTCTGCTATGTTGTACATTAAATTACTAGTAAAATTAGCTTTCAAATGAAGGGTCACATTATACAATATCTTTTATTCCGCCAGAGGGTACTAAAATGAAAATTAAATCAATGAACATTCATATTGCTGAATTCTCCATAAAATACTGTATGTGACAAATTGAAACAAAAATTTTCAAACTGGCGCGAGTTCCAAATATAAAAAATCAGTTAAATATTAAAAAGTTAATGTAACAATGTAAAGGAAAAAAAATAAATACTATTTATTCATTTCAGTCATACTGCTTCTACCTGACTTTTCTTTCTACTGCTCTGCAGCTTTGCTGCCCTCCATCTATATCTATATCTATAAATTGTATTGATTAGTGTGACGGCGGTGAGGGGAATAACGTATGACATATGACAATAGGATAGAAAGGTGTCGCTTTTGGAATCAATATCTACCTGTTCCAAGCAATTTTTGATATTCGTTATTTATTAGGATATGTTGCCAATGGGAAGTTTTTAAATTAACATTCTGTATACTATACAGATTTTTCTACCTGCAGGTTTATTGTTATGGAAACACGCGATACCTAATATCATTTCTATTCACTTGAAAACAATCTGCAGTTTTTATTTATCCTGTTTGGATCCGCCGCTGAATTTATTACAGTTTCCGGCACTGGCCGTTCCTATTCAATGAACTTTTTTATTTCAGAAAACCTTATTCGCGATAACCAATCAAAATGTCCGCCATCACGTAATAAGCCTGCCCGCGGAAACATCGCTGAAAACAAACGAGGTCTACGTACTGAAACATCAGCATTTCGATGTTCCTCCATTACCACCCAGAGCGGCAATCGCTCTGGCCCCCAAGATAAAAGGTAAGTTAACTAGGTTGACGTTTTAGTTTTAGATTAAATCGTTTTGTTTACTAGATTGTTGGATGTTTAGAAGTCAACTTGTTTTATGTGCGCCTTATATATGACAGGTTCTTCATGAATTAATTCATATAGTCGTTTAATGAGAAAATTGATAACTTTTTATTAATATTGTCACGACCCCCTTTTCTAAGGGGGTCGTTATCAATTTTGAGCTATCTTTCTTTATGAAATAAAAAAACAGCAAAAAATTGATTTAGCGCGTCATCGGGCTTTCTCTTACCCATTTTATACATTGAGTTGGAAGTACACGCGCGTAGGAAGCATATTATAACGTAAAAAAACATAACAACAAACAAAATTTTTAAAATGTATTTAGGCTTTTTTGTTTATTATAGTTTGAATATTCGGTAAAAAATTTAAAATTATAGCATTTTAAATTTTAAGGTATATTATTTAATTCAAGAAATTTAGAATTTTCGTCAATTTCGGATTTTAAAACATTCATAACAATTAAAGGGTTAAAGATACGATGATGGGCGTAAGGACTTTTTTTATTCAAAATATCCTAAAGAATATAAAAAAAATTAATCCATTGCAAAAAATGCATTTTTTCTAGCTTAATTAATTTTTCGTTGTTTAAACAATAACATCAACAGATAACGAGTGTCATCTTACACTTTTATAATCTGGAAAGCCTTCCGGACATTAAAAAAAAATTACGAATTAAAACAATTTTGCAAACGAATGCGCCACTATGCCCTGCACTAACTGTAATTAATTAACGTGGTGAGCATTTAAATTAATAATGGCCCTCTAACACTTCTAGAGAGAGTCACCATCACTTGAAATGTGCACACTTATCTATTACAGTAATCCAAATACTTTTCGTGCCTGCAATCATAGTTGATACAGGCATGAATCGGACCCAGGGTGTTAATCAAGAATTGGATAGTGTAATAAATTCTAAGCCCGTTGTTAGAGGGTCATCATCACTTGAGATGGTCCGCGCTAATTTATTACAGTACACTTTTCACGCCTGTAATGATATTGTCTACAGGCATGTTTATCAGATGGTGTTTATCGAGAGTGAGATGGTGTAATAAATAATTAACGCAGGGTTAGAGGTTCATTATCACTTGAAATGCCTACGTTACTTTGGAACAGTAACGCAAACACTTGTCACGCCCGCAATCCTGTGTCTACAGGCCTGAATCACGGACCCAGGGTGTTTATCGAGCATGGAACGGTGAAATAATTTCTGAGCGCAGTGTTAGAGGGTCATAATTACTTTAAAATGCGCATACTATTTATTACAGTACTCAAAACACTTTCTACGACTTTAGTCATAGTGCTTACAATTGGTCAGTTGACTAATAATTGTTTGAGATTGTTATTGGCGATATTGGTGGTATTCATTTGAAACACGGCCATCCTGTAAAGGCAGATAATTGTATGGAGCTGATATAAATAATAATATTTTCGTGTTAAAAAAAAATTTGCCACTATGGAGCTTATTGTTTTAAAAAGAAACTTACCAACCATCTAGCTCTAGAATAAATTATGTTATTTATTGATTTTGAATTTGATTTAAATTTTTTTTGAAATAAATTTATAACTCAACTGTCTGATATATACCGGAGAAAAATGTAGAATGGCAAAAACTACCAATTGTAATTTAGAGCACTGATAACGTTAAAAGGTGTACGCAACGTAACTTTTAAAAATAGTAAAATACCATTAAGCATTGAATGCAATGGTATAGGTTCTAAAATTTGTTTTTATGATGTGGACATTTAAGCAGTGGTCTACTACGCTACTTTGGACAGATAGACAGATAGCGTGTTTATTTTCAGTCGTTTAATTTTGAATTTTGGTAGAAATTCGATGAAAAAAAATGTTTTCTTCATTAAAAGGAATTTATATTATCTCTATCAATAACCGACTGAAAAAAGCTTAGAAAAACAAAACGCAGAGAAACTTAAACATTTATTGTTAAATTTGTTTAAGTTTGGAAATAACTATTCAACAATAAATACCACTGAGTTAAAAATAAAGCTATCTAGTGACTAAGTTATTAATTATCACACGTACCGTTTTTCGGTAACGAGAAAAGAAAATAAATATTCCCTTTCATACAATTCCTATTGACTGTAGTTTAAAATAACAAATAATTACAGATGGTTTTAAAAACGCTTTATTTATAGTCAATGCTTTTACGAGATATGTAATTATATACCCCTTAAAAAAACGTTAACCAGAGCAGAACTCACTAAAACATTAGAGAATTATATAACGATGTTTGGCACGTATTATAATTAACCGTAGAACAAATTTTACCGATAAAAAAATCCTTATTCGTAAATATAAATATTAAGCGTCATTAAGTTATAGCAGGGGCTCTACTAGACAAGTTGAAAGGTATGTTGTAACAATAATTAATTTATTAATTGCTGAAGTTCGAAAGTGGTCAAAATGGACGAGCTCTTTCCAAATTACGATTAACTGTTAATTCTACCATTCAGAAAGTTAAATACAGGTCAGCAGGTCAGGTTAATCCTTGAGGAGTACCTCTGAACTTAATGATGTTTTCATGTTACCAGAAAGTTAAGTACAGGTCAGGTTAATCCCTGAGGAGTACCTCTGAACTTCTCTACTGCTTTTATTCAGTAACAAAGTTAAGTAAAGGTCAGTTAAATATCTGAGGAGTACATCTGAACTTCTATTTAAAGCTTTTGCTTTGTAAGTAAAAAGAAAGTTAAGTATAGGCCAGTTAAATATTTGAGGAGGAATACATTTGAACTTTAATTTAAAGCCTTTGTTTCTGTGATTAAAGAAATTAAGTATAGATGAGCCAAATATCTGAGGAGTACCTCTGAACTTATTGTTTTTATTTTGTCTGCGGGGAACTGAGACGGTAGTAGCGAACCGTCGTCAGCGTTCCTCCAGGCAGAACGATTTGAGTCACCTTGAGTGTCTAGTATGATCAGCTGTTGTTGCTGTTGGCATTGTGTTCTGTCTGTAATTACTTGATAGCTAAATAATTATTTGACTTAATAATAAATAAAATCTAACATCTATCTATATTTACACTTGTATATATTAGAAATAATAAATTTGTAATACGTTTTCTCCTTCTGTTTCCACTCGAACTAACTAAAGCCTTTCCAATGGATGTGGGCTAGCTTCAGAAGAAACCTGTTCCACAGCCTAATGCTTTTCCTATTGTAATAATTTGTAATAAATTTTCCTAGTTTAGTAAATGGTAGGGCGAAAGTACTGGTGCTGCTTTTATTTTATTTTACTTTCGTATTTAATAAAATAAGCTGAACAGCTTAATATCAATTGTTGATTTTTATATTATTTTAGTATCCTTATATTAATTAATGTCCTCAATTATGTATATTGGGCAGTCAAATAAACTTATTAATTATTATCATACCTTCTTAACTATTAGTGTTTCATTTCACTCCAAAATCTTTCTGAACACGATGCGCAATCAATTATAATTTTATGTTACTAATAAATTTTCCATGCCTCTTAATTCATTTACAACGGTCCATTACTAATTCCAAATTAAGTTACTGACACCGCGATGAAGTAAAACTCGAAGAAAACACGTCTCCAAAATAAAATTAATAACTTTGTTTTCGAGGAGAAACGGCGCAGCTATTAGTGTGTACCCGATGAAGAAAATTACTTTTACAAAATTGATACCTTAAACATCGATCTTGTTGACGTATAAGCGTATAGGTGAAGTTCACAAAATCAGTCATTCATTTCCTGGCTGTGTCAAGTTAGCAAATATCCAGGGTATCCGTGATTTTCATCACGTGAATATGACGTTGGCACTAAGATAAATTATGGAAACGTTGCGTTAAGGTTTTTAGCTATAATAGCTATTTTATGAAATTCGCAGGATTTATATTGAGTTTGTATGGTTTGTACAGTTAACATTATTTAAATCAGTTATTCGCTCCGTGTGAAGTCATGGAAAGAGAAGCAAAAGCGATACTAGCGCTAGCTGCGGATAATTCGTGCATTTTAGGGCGATATTTTGTAATTTTGGCATATCAAATACACGTATACATTTTAATTTTTTTTTCAAAAAAGTAGGTAAAAACAACACAATAAGCAACCGGAGTTGCTGTGTTGAAAATTGTACAAATACTAAAAAAAAAACAGTGAAACTTATAAAAATTTCACTTATAGCAAAGTGGAAATTAAATCAAAGAAATAAATGGATAGGTGTACAATAGGAAGAAAAATTACCTTTATTTTTGTGATAATAACAGTAATGCTGGAAAGATTTTAAATAAACAATAAATTATCATTTTACGATGTTCTTTAATATCCCTCTATTCTTAAATGTTCATTCAGCAAGGACTAGATTTCAAGATTTATGCCTTTGATAATAATATGTGGATGGAATGCAATTTTGTGACTTACTGATGGGAAACCAGTTTTAATCATTCATTCTATGTTTTCTTTCGAACAAAAATGAAAATATAAATAACGATCCTCTTTTATACATTTTAACTTCACACTATTATTAAATGGAATTTTTTTATTTCGACAGAATAGGCTAATTCTTCAATGACAACTTATTAGACTTAGGCAACTTCTCATACATTTTCCAGTAAATACTGTTGCCTGCCTATATTTTATAATTGATTTTTATTGATTATACATAATTTTCTTTAATTTAAGCGGGAAAAATATATAATAACAATAAATTAATGTTTTACTTGTTTTACAAATCCATATACTTTTATTAAAACTAACATATATACTTTTTATTTACGAATTCTATTAAAAATTGTATTTGTCAGTATAGGCAGAAATAGTCCTTTAATACCAAAACAAATTGGCGCTGCTGTCGCGCACGGAGCGAATACCGTAAAAATGACAGGTTATTTATTGTTTCGATATGTTATTTTCAGTTATTAACATCATCATCATCAGGAATTAGTTCACATCTGCGCATCTATATAGTCCATTTT